ATAAGGGCCAAGGGGAGAGCTTCTGCCCGTTTAACTCCAGTTTCTTGACAGACCTTTCCTGAAGTCCTTTTGATGTCTGGATTTTTATGTTCCACTTGCCCTGATGATTGAGGACGATATGGGGTATGAAATTACAATGAGCATGCCAACGTTTCTGCAAGAAACTGGTTTCTCTCTGCTGTAAAATGAGTTCCTTGGTCCGATTCACTCTATACAGGAATGCCAAAACAAGGACTAACTTCAGTTATTCATTTCTTTACCACAGTGTGACATGTGCTCACCCAGTTGGACAGCATTCAGTCCATCGACTAACCACACAGATGATAACCAAACAATGAGGATAGCCTAAAGCTTGGGGCAAGTCTGTAAAGTCCACCTGCAGAGCCGCAAAGGGTAGTGTGGGCCTGGGAGGACTTCTTGGGGTACACTGATTTCTCCCAGAAACTTGGTGAGATTGGCAAGTAGTGCACTGGGAAATAATTGGGTCACAAATTTTATGGATTCCAGGGAAAAACCAATCATCTTTTAGTTCCTTAACTATCCCCCATCTGCACATACGTCCAATTGTTGAGAGATAAGCGCAACCCAAAAAGTCAAAGAAAGGAGCTACAGGAAGTCCCTTGGCCCAGTGTTTAATCCATCTGATCATTGTTTGATGGCATTTTGTATCCCATTGTCTTTTTCAGATTGTGGCTTATTGGTCTGATAGTTAATAATGTCAGTCAGGGATAAGGGCAGGATTAAAAACTGAGAATCATGGCAATTATCTATGATAAGAGCTCTTCCTGAGACAGGCGCTTTTATCATAAATTCTTTTACACAATTTGGGGGAAGGTCAAATGTTCTTCCAGAGTCTTCTGAGCCTTGATTGTCTTCAGCTCAAAAGAATCTGCATATCAGAGTGGCACACCTTGGAGCAGCCTGCCCTAAACCCCATCAAAGGTTTGGACCAACCCCCCATCAAGCAAGTCTATCTGTGCCATTTTTCCAACAGCATTTGCTCACTTTGTGTCACATTTCACCACTTCTCACAATGTCTCCAAACGTTTCGTTATTATTATTATTTTGTGGTGGTGATGTGCGATCAGTGATCTTTGATGTTAGCATTGCAGGTGGTTTGCGTTGCCATGAACTTCACCCTGGAAGACAGCAAACCTAATCGATAAATGTGTGTGTTCCGACTGCTCCACCGACCAGCCGTTCCCCTGCCTCTCTCCCTCTCCTCAGGCCTCCCCATTCCCTGAGACACAACAACATTGGAATTAGGCTGATTAATGACCCTATCATCACCTCTAAGTGTTCAAGTGAAAGGAAGACTCACACATCTCTCACTTGAACTCAAAAGCTGGACTGAGGAAGGCATGTCGAAAGCCTAGATAGGCCAGAAGCCAGGCCTCTTCTTCCAAGCAGTTAGCCAACTGTGAATGCAAAGGAACAGTTCTGAAGGAAATTAAAAGTGCTGCTCCAGTGAGCACGTGAATGTTAAGAAAGCAAAACAGCCTTATTGCTGATAGGGAGAAAGTTTTAGTGGCTTGGATAGAAGATGAAACCAGCCACAACATTCCATTAAGCCCAAATCTAATCCAGAGCAAGGCCCTAACTGTCTTCAATTCTATGAAGACTGAGGGAGGTGAGGGGGCTGCAGAAGAAAAGGCGAAGGCAGCAGAGGTGGGTTCATGAGGTGTAAGCTTAGAAGCCATCTCCATGACATAAAAGCACAAGGTGAAGCAGCAAGTGCTGATGTAGAAGCTGCAGCAAGTTCTCCAGAAGATCTAGCTGAGATCACTAGTGAAGAAGGGCATACTAAACAGCAGATTTTCAATGCAGATGGAACAGCCTTATATCAGAAGACGATGCTGTCTAGGACTTTCGTAGCTAGAAAGAAGTCAATGCCTGGCTTCGAAGCTTCAAAGGACAGGCGGCTAATGCAGCTGGTGACTTGAAGCAGAAGCCAGTGCTCATTGACCATTCTGAAAATCCTAGGGCCCTTAAGAATAGTGCTAAGTCAACTCTGCCTGTGCTCGGTAAATGGAACAACAAAGCCTGGATCACAGCGCATCTGTGTACAACATAGTTTACTCTATATTTTATGCCCCCTGTTAAGACCTACTTCTCAGAAAAAAAGATTTCTTTCAAAATATGACTGTTCATTGACGATGCACCTGGTCAGCGAAGTACTCTGATGGAATGTGTAACAAGATTGATGTTGTTTTCACGCCTGCTAACACAACATCCATTCTGCAGGATATGGGCAGTCATTGTGATCACGGATCAAGGAGTAATTTTGCCTTTCAACTCTTCTCATTTAAGAAATACAGTTCGTAAGGCTATCGCTGCCATAGATAGTGATTCCGGTGATAGATCTGGGCAGAGTAAATTGAAAGAATTCACCCTTCTAGATGCCCTTAAGAACACTCTTGGTTCATGGGAAGAAATCAAAATATCAACCTTAACAGGAGTTTGGAAGAAGTTGATTCCCACCCTCGTGGATGACAGTGAGGGGTTCAAGACTTCAGTGGAGGAAGTAATTGCAGAAGTGGTGGGAACAGCAAGAGAACTAGAATTAGGAGTGGAGCCTAAAGATGTGACTGAATGGCTGCAGTCACAATAAAACTTTAATGGATGAGGAGTTGCTTCCTTGGGTGAGCAAAACAGTGGTTTCTTGAGATGGAACCTACCCTTGGTGGAGATGCAGTGAAGATTGTGGAAATGACAACAAAGGGTTTAGAATATTACATAAACTTGGTTGATAAAGCAGTGGCAGGGTTTGAGAGGACTAACTCCAATTCTGAAAGAAGTTCTACTGCAGGTAAAATGTTATCAAACAGCATCGCATGCTACAGAGAAACTGCTTTGAAAAGAAGAGTCAATCAATGTGTCAAACTTCACTGTTGGCTTATTTTAAGAAATTGCCACAGCCACCCCAACGTTCAGCAACCACCACACTGATCTGTCAGCAGCCATCAACATTGAGGCAAGACCCTCCACCGCAAAAAGATTATGACTCGCTGAAAGCTCCGATGATGGTTAGCATTTTTTATAGCAATAAAGTATTTTTTAATTAATGTACATACCATACATTCCTCTCTTTTTTTGTGTGTGAGGAAGATTGTCCCTGAGCTAATGTTGGTGCCAATCTTCCTCTATTTTGTATGTGATATGTCTCCACGGCATGGTTTGATGAGCAGTGTGTAGGTCCATGCCCAGGATCTGAACCCATCAACCCCAGGCTGCCAAAGCAGAGCATGTGAACATAACGACTATGCCACTGGGCCATCCCCTGTACGTTCTTTTTTCACACATAATGCTATTGAACAGTTAAGAGATTACAATATAGTGTAAAAATATCTTTTATATGCACTGGGAAACCAAAAAGTTCGTGTGACTCACATTTTTGTGATATTCATTTTCTTGCGGTGGCCTGGAGCGAACCCCTAATAACCCCAAGATATGCCTGTATAGTTTCAGCACTTAGATTTAGGTCTTTGATCCATTTTGAGTTAATTTGTGTGTGTGGTGTGAGGTAGGAGTCTGACTTCATTCATTTGCATGTGGATATCCAGTTGTTGCAGCACAGTGTGTTGAAAAGACTATTGTTGCCCCATTGAATTGTTTTGGCACTCTTGTCAAAAATAAACTGACCATCAAGAGAAAGAGAAGACAATGCATAGACTAGGAGAAAGTATTTGTAAAAGTATATCTAATAAAGGATTGTTATCCAAATATATATAAAGAACCCTTAAAAATCAACAATAAGAAAACAACCCAATTAAAAATGGGCAAAAGATCTGAACAGACACCTCACCAAAGAAGATATACAGCTGGCAATAAGCCTATGAAAAGATGCTCCACATCATATGTCATTAGGGAATCGCAAATTGAAACAACGAGTTACCACTACACACCTGTTAGAAGGGAGAAAATCCACTTCACGGACAACACCACATGCTGCTGAGGATGCAGAGCAGCAGGAACGCTCCTTCATTGCTGGTGGGAACGCAACATGGCACAGCCATTTGGGAGACAGTTTGGCAGTTTCTTACAAAACTAAACGTACTTTTACCACAGGATTCAGGAACCACACTCTTTGATATTTACCCAAATGAGTTGAAAACTTATGTCCACACAAAAACCTGCACATGGATGTTTACAGCAGCTTCATTCATCATTGCCAAAACATGGAAGCAACCAAGATGTCCTTCAGTAGGTGAATGGGTAAGTGAACTGTAGTGCGTGCAGACAAGAAACATTACTCTGCTCTAAAAACAAAGGAGCCATCAAGCCATGAGAAGACATAAGACAACCTAAATGCATAAGACTAAGTGAAACAGGCCAATCTCAAAGGCTAAAGACTGTGTGATTCGATTACCAATATATGCCATTCTGGAAAGGCAGAACTGTGCAGACAGTGAAAAGATCACTGGTTGCCAGGGGTTAGTGGGGAGGGAGGGACGAATAGGTCAAGCACAAAGGACTTTTAGGGCACACCCTAATAGTGTACACATGTCTATACATTTGTCAAAATCCATGGAATGTAAAACACCAAGAGTGAGCTCTAATTTACACTATGGACTTAAGGTGACAATGAGGGGTCAGTGTAGGTTCATCAATTACAACAAATGTACCAGTCTGCTGGGGTGTGTTGAGAGTGGGAGAGGTTGTACATGTGTATATGGGAAATCCACCTTCTGATCAATTTTGTTGTGAACCTAAAACTGCTCTAAAAAATTATAGTCAATTTTTTCAAAAGCAATTGGCCATAAATTTTTAAAAATTAATTGCCCTATTTTTGGACTCTCAATTCTATTCCATTGATCCATATGTCTACCCTTAGGTCAGTAATACACTGTCTTAGTTACTTTAGCTTTGTACCCAGTTTAAAAATCACAAAGTCTAAGTCCTGGGGCCAGCCCAGTGGCATAGTGGTTAAGTTCGCACGCTCACCTTCAGTGGCCGGGGGTTTGCCAGTTCGGATCCCCAGCACAGACCTACACACCATTCATCAAGCCATGCTGTGGCAGGCATCCCACATATAAAGCAGAGGAAGATGGGCACGGATGTTAGATCAGGGCCAGTCTTCCTCAGCAAAAAGTTCCCTAGTAGGGAGCTGTCATTAGGGTCACCCAGGGTTCTCCAGGCTTGACAGGTGCTTCTGGGCTAGGAGGGGCTGCCATTGGTGTCTGAGGGGCCCTAGGGATGCCCCAAGCTGGAGGACTGGAGGTTGTCCTCAGGAGTCTTCTTGCCTCCTTTGAGGACATTGGCTGTAGCTAGAAGCTCAGAACAGCCAGCGTGAGTTCACAGAACTCATGTTCATGTTCTGTTCATGTTCAAGTTCACGTTCTGCCGATTCACAGAACACTCCCCAAAGCCAAGCACTCCCTCATCAATGAATAAGGGTGGCTTACTTCCATCCCTTTGTGCCGAGAGGTCAGCACTGCCCAGGGCCTCTCAGTCACATTCATACCCTCATCGTACCAGAGTCTTGCCTGATACCCACCGCCCCCACAGCTGCCAGTGTTGAGGGGGCCTGGATGTTGACCAGCTCAGCCCCCACACCTCCCAGTGTTGAGGGGGCCTGGATGTTGCTCCAGCTGGTGGAGTCCATGTGTTGAGATGAGAGATCAAGGAGGGTGTCTGCAGCAATAGAAAGCAGGTGGGCTCCAGGCCCCACCCAAGACCTGGACCTTGACCTCCACCAGCCTCTCAACGCCACCCAGGTGGGCTGGGATAGTCAGTTTCCTGGGGGCCTGGGCTTCCTCATCTGTGAACCAGGCACAGTAACAGGGCTTCCCTAGAACCTGGGAGTCTGGTCTGGACTGTCTGAGGTGTGGGTAGGAGGGCTGAATGCGTGTGTGACTGCGAGGCAGGGCCCAGTGCTGGATCTGGTGCCCAGGGGTGAGGGCAGGTCCTCTGCACAGAGCACAGAGTAGGGGAGGCAGTGACAGCAAGTGAGTTGCATCAAGTTCTGAGGGAAGGGACTTAGGCTGGAGAGGAGGTGAAGGCTTGGGTACCTGGGGACAAGGGCATTGCTGTAGTGGCCCCCAGAGTAGTGCACTGGTCGTGTGTCAGGGTGTGAGGGCAGGGCATGAGGCCTTGGCTTTGGGTGCAGGGCCCAAGATGGCCCCACTCCTGGTAGGGTGCGTTGATACACCACCTCAGCAAGGCTTAGGATGAGGGGATGAACACAGCTCTCTGAGGCCAGGTGGCCGCCTCAGCATAGCCCAGGGCCACAGAATCGCTCCTGTTCTGGGTATTAGAGGCCTGGCTCAGCTCATGGGAAGCCTTGTGTTTCCATCCTGCTCTCAATCCCAGACCACTGGAGTGGTTCCTAGCCGGGTTCCCTGGGACTGCCCCCTCCCCACCTTCAAGGCCCCTCCCAGGCACACCCAGGGTCCCCCTCCACCGGGCTCCCTCCCTTCCCAGGAAAGCAGGCCAAAGGGATCCCCATGCTTCCCTGTGAGCTCCTGCCCACCCTGCTGGCAGGCCCTGACTCTGCCTCATCCAGTCCTCCAGCTAGGCAGTGGTTCCAGGCTGGGGTCCCTAAGGCAGGGTCAGAGCAAGGACTGAAGGCTGGTCAGCACTCAGCTGGGCAGCCTGTCACTCCCTCTGGCCCTCGTAGGTGCCAGCAGCTGGCTTGGTGCTCCTCTCAGCTGCCCACCATGGCCCACGAACTGTCCAGCACCACCAGCCTGTCACACTTCTGCCAGAAGCTGAACCGGCTGAAGACACTGGAGGAGTCCACCACGGAGAGATCGCTGCGGCACCACCTGACCATGCTGGACCTGATCCTGCTGGGCATGGGTACCACGGGGAGTGTGGGCCTCTATGTGCTTGTGGGCACTGTGGCCAAGGAGATGGCCGGCCCTGCGGTACTTGTGTCTTTCGGCGTGGCTGCTGTGGCCTCCCTGCTGGGAGCCCTGTGCTATGCAGAGTTTGGGGTACGTGTGCCCGGTAGGGGTTCTGCCTACCTGTTCACCTACGTGTCCATGGGTGAGCTGTGGGCCTTCCTCGTTGGCTGGAACACGATCCTGGGGTACCTCATTGGTGTTGCCGCTGTAGCCCGAGTCTGGAGCAGCTATGTGGATGCCATCTTCAGCCACCGCATCCGCAGCTTCACCATGGCCCATGTGGGCAGCTGGCAGGTGCTGTTCCTGGCCCAGTACCCGGACTTCTTGGCTGCTGGAGTCATACTTTTGGCCTCCGCATTAGTCTCTTATGGAGTTGGGGTCTCCTCCTGGCTCAACCGCACGTTCTCTGCCATCAACCTGGTCGTCATCCTCTTCATCATCATCCTGGGGTTTATGCTGGCCCGCCCACACAACTGGAGCGCTGAGGAGGGTGGCTTTGCACCCTTCGGCTTCTCCGGCATCATAGACGGCGCCGCTACTTGCTTCATTGCCTTCCAGGGCTTTGGCGCCATTGCTGCCTCCAGCATGGAGGCCCAGAATCCAAAGCGAGCCGTACCTATAGCCATCGCCATCTCGCTTGGCCTGGCGGCTGGTACTAACATCCTCGTCTCCGCTGCACTCACCTTCATGGTGCCCTGGCGCAGCCTGGACCCTGACTTGGCACTCACTGATGCCTTCAACCAGCGGGGCTACAGTTGGGCGGGCTTCATCGTGGCAGCTGGTGCTATCTGCGGTAAGAGGCCCTTCTGGGCAAGGAGGGAGGGGACAGGGTGGTGGGGCCCTGCCCTAAGCCTCCCTGGGAACACAGCTCCATCTGGGCCCGTGTTCCCAGTTGCATCCTGGGCCCAGAAAGGTGCTAATGATTAGACTCTCCACCCAGGCTTGTTGGGAGGGACCTACTCACCGCCCCTCCCAATTGTACACAGAATGTCAGTTCTGGGCATGAGCTGCCTGGTCCTTTCCTGGTGGAGGGACTCAGCCCTCATCAAATTCTCCAGGGAGTCTGTCACTTAAACTGGGCTGTCCCATTCCTAGGTGGTGAGGGGCAACAATCCAGTACCTTACATACACTCAGGCTCACTCTGAGAGCCCAAATTCATGCTCCTGTTCCCTAGGGGCCGCCCATGCTCTGGTCCCCAGCAGCAACCCTTGGTGGGCCTGTCCACCATGCTGACCAGTCTCCCACCCTCTGCCACAGCCATGAACACTTTCCTGCTCAGAACAGTCATTTTCCTGCCACGTATGGTCCATGCCATGGCCGCCGATGGGCTCTTCTTCCAGGTGTTTACCTACATGCACCCTCAAACACTGGTACCCATTGTGGGCATCATGGTGTTTGGGGTCCTCGTGGCTTTCCTGGCACTGCTGCTGGACTTCAAGGCATTGGTCCAGTTCATGTCCATCAGTGCACTGCTGAATAGCACCATAGTGGCCACCAGCATTGTCATGCTACGCATCCACAAGTCCCCTCCATCCAGTTTCCTGGGCTCAGCCAGTCCTGTGGGTACAGAGCAGGCCTCAGCCCCTGAGCCTGGTAAGCTGCGACCAGCCCTGAGGCCCTACCCCTCCTTCCCGGGTGGGTACAGACCTGGAGCTGCCGTGGCTTGGGCACTTGGTGTCCTGGTGGCCTCAGCCATCACTCTGGACTGCATGCTGGTCTTTGGGGGCTCGGCCCTGCACCTCCCGCCCTGGGGCCACACCCTGCTGCTCCTGCTCAGCTCGGTCGTGTTTCTGCTCAGTCTCCGCTTCCTGGGGGCCCACCAGCAACAGCGCCGGGAGAATGCCTTTCAGGTACTTCCTCCAGCCAGCACCCCTCATCACTCTCAGCCCAGCCAGCTCCCTTCGCCCCTTCCTCCTATGCCATGGCAGGATGCACCAGGGCTCACAGGGTGGGGAAGGCCAGTACCCCATCCCCCTCTTCCTGCATGGCAAGTGGGCACTTGTCTCTGGAACCTGCAGAGGCACAGAAAGGCTCCGTGGACTCCCGAGAAATCAGGCCCCAGCCCAGCAGCCTTTCCCTGCAGCCCAGCAGCCCTGCCCTTGTCCCCTCAGGTTCCCATGGTGCCCCTGACTCCAGCCCTGAGCATCCTCCTCAACGTCTTCCTCATGATGCATCTGAGCTATCTGAACTGGCTGAGCTCGTCCATATGGCTGCTGATTGGTGAGTGGGGGCCAGGCCGGGACCCCAGGTGGGCTGCAGGAGGAGGGCAAGCAGGGAAGCTGGGCTGGGACCTGCCCTTCAGGCTTGTGCCATCCTTACAGGACTCGTGGTGTATTTTGGCTATGGCATCTGGCACAGCAAGGAGAACCAGCGGGAGCTGCCAGGGTTGACTGCCACATGTGGTGGCCTGGAGGAGATGGTGTAGGCCCTGCAGCCCCTCAGCCAGGCCCTGGCCCAGGAGCCCAGCCACATGGAGCAGCCTGCCAGGCTATGAGGACTGCTGGGGGCCTGCCTGCCCTCCCCCACCTCCTCAGCAGGCCAGAGGGGCTGGCAACCCTTCTATTCTGGGGAGCACAGGTTATAGGCCTGCTCAGGCCAGGTGGTCCTCAGGACCTGAGGACCTTAGCACAGATGCCAAGTGGGCCATGATCAGCGTTGGTGTGGTGGACTCTGGCTAGCGCCCTCCAGTTTATGACCAACTCCAGCTACCTGGGCAGGTGGAGTAGGGCGGACAGGGAAGAGGGTCACAGCCCCAGGGATCCACAATAACCGCTCGGCCAGCCGTGTGGCCTGCTGCCGTGTCCATTGTGGTGTTCTTTGTGGCACTGAGTCCTTACCTGCCCCCAGGAACCAGATTGTCCCCAATCCACAGCTGAGGTGCCAAGATCTGTAAGGGGAAGGCATCAGCCCTGGGACAGCCCTGAGTCAGGGACATGGCCAAGCCTGGTTCCTGAGGCCTTACCCTCGGGCCAGTGCCCTCTGGCCAGCTCAGAGGGGAGCTACACACATCAGGCACAGAGGGGTCCCTGACAGTGTGGGCCCAGGCTCCCTCCGACAGGTTTCCCACATGTCGCCTTGGGAGCGGATCCAGAGAGAACCTGTACCCCAAAGAGGGTACCTAGAAAGGTCAGTGGAGTCCTGGGGTTCCCTCAGTTTCCCAGGGCTCCCAGAGTAGGGCATGTGCCTGAGGCCTGTCCCGGGATGTGGAGGCCCACCTGCCTGGGTACACGCATCTCTCAGGCACAGGCCCAAACACAGCTCCCCTGGGGGCGCACACCCATGTGCAGACTGAGGCAACAGCTGTTTCCAAGCTCAGGGCCCCCAGCTCCAGCTGCGTCTCTCCCTGCCACTCCCTCAAGCTTTGGGATGAAGGCTCGGGATGGGACATGCATACAGGTGGGTGCATGAGCTCCTGGGCCCCACCTGGTGGCTGTAGGGCCCCATCTTTAGGGGTCCCCAGGCCAACCCTGCACCCCGACTGGTCTCTCCAAGGCCATGCTATGTCTACCATAGACGCCTCCACCTCGCCGTTCCCGCCTGTGAGGACCACACAGAAGCCACTGGCTGTGGCAGCTTTACTCCTCGACTCTCTCTTCACATCAGCTTCCTCTGGGCCCCAAGGACAACCAGGCACACGTGACCCCACTCCAATAACGAGGCCTCAGCGCCGTGATCTCTCACCCCGGCCCGTCTGTACTCGCCTCCCATGGACACTGCTTTGGGGATTGAGAGGCAGCAGGGACCCCAAGGCTTGGCTGGGGCTCCAGGAGCCAGATGACTCCAGATGCTGCCCAGCCTGAGCCCCAGCCTTGGCCCTCCCCAACCTGGCCAATGATGCTCTACCAACAAGCTTCCAGCATGCCCCTGGTACCAGGGACCCATGAGAAGGCAACTGCTTGTCTCCCTAGGGTGGGTACCCCCAAATCCATGAAAGTGCCCTGGGACCAAGAGATTGCTTGGCTCCTGCAGCTCCCACCCACTCCCGCTTCACCCCCCACTCCCCCCGCCAGGGGCCTAGGGGCACAGAGAAATTCTCCAGCAGGCAGGGCTCAAGCCCCATTAGCTTAGGCAGGCTCTGGGCCTCCATGCCAGAGGCCTCCCCCCAGTGAGTGGCTGTCCTGGGGGCAGGAGAGTCTACTGGCCTGCTCTGCCCACTCCTGGAGTGGCCCGGCCCTCACAGGCCTCATCTTACTCATCCATTGACTCCATCCACCCCCAGCCTGAGTCCTGGGTCTCAGCCCTGTGTCCTTGCTGAGGACACAGGGGACAAGCAAGCTGGGACCTGCCTCTCAGAAGCTCCCTGCCTGCTGAGGGGATGGGGACAGAAGGGTCCCTAAACAGACGCTGGCAGTGGGGTTGGGGGGAGTGGGGGCAGGCTTGGACTGTGTGGTCCAGAGAGGGGCACTCACTCCCCCCAGGAACCAGGGGGCTTCCTGCCAGAAGACTGTCAGGCTGGTTTTCCAGGCGTCAGGAAAGAGTTCAAGGCAGAGATGTAGGATGGGGAGAGCACAGAAGTGATGGGGGCAGGGCTTGGGTGGGGTCCAGCCACACATGGTTTTGAAGGGGGCTGTGTGCACATCTGCTTAGGAGACTCAAAGATATGACAATACATGCAACGCAAGATCCTTGAGTGCATTCTGGGTCAGAAAATAAAAAAATTTAGGACTATTATTGGCACAGCTGGGGAAATTTAAATATTAGATTTATCTGCCCATGTTAAATTTCCTGAGTGTGACAAGAGGACAGTGGTCACCTGGGGAAGGTCCTCATTCTCAGGACATCATCAAGAGGGGTGAGTGTCTGGATATCTGCCACTTACTTTCCAACTGTTTCTTGTGACATCTAAATACACCCGGCTCCCTCTAAGAAGGAGAGAGTAAGCAAACAGGGCAAAATGGTAAAAAACAAAGACAAACAAACAAAAACCCTGGTGATCCCACATGAATGCTATATGGGTTTTCTTGATACCAATCTTTGAAGCTTTCTAGAGACTTTAGCAATTTTTTGGATAAAACCTTAAGAGAAAAGTGAAAAATAAAGCCCCTGTGGGGTGGAGGGAGATGTTGGAGGCAGGGTGGAGTGGAGGAGGGGCTGGGGGTGAGGGGTCCAGCTGCAGCAGGGGTGTGGGGACAGGTGGGGTGGAGGCCAAAGGGCTCAGGGAGGAGGCTGGATGGAGCCTGTGCTGGGGGACCTGGAGCTGAGAGCACCCATTCTGCCCTGGGGCCCCTCACACACACAGCAGACCGTCCAGAGGGACGGGCCAGGGTGTAGTCTGTCCTGGACGCCACAGGCGGACAGGTGGGGGAGGACTTGGCTGAGGAGCAGCAGGTGGGCAGTGGGGCTGCACCTGAAGTTGTAGCTCCTCTCTTGCAGCTGGAAGGAGTCATGGGGCTGGCAGTGAGAGCCCCTGGTGTCCAGGTCACAATCCCAGAGGCCGGGGATGCTCACAGCACTGCCCTGCACACAGTGCATCACTGCTCCACCAGCACGAGGGCCTGGGACCCTCTCTCTCCCCAAGCCCTCCTAAAACTCTGCCTCCCAGAGACCCACCAGCAATGCCAGGTCCTCAAAGACCCCTCCAGCTTCAGCCACAAGGTCCTCAATGTGAAACACAAGGCAGGAGGGGCTGAAGCGTGGGTCATAGTGGCAGCACTTGAAATAGGTGGCATCCAGGTCTCCAAGGCATTGGACCTGAGAGGGGGTGGGGCCAGAAGGTTGGGCCAGGTGGGGAAGGAAAAGGATCTGGGGCCAGCCAGGATCCACCATGCTTACCTGGAGAAGTCGAACTTGCTGAAGGTGACAGGGTTTTTGATGAACAGCGTGAAGTTGTCAGCCTGGACCAGCAGGGCCTTCCTGCAGGTGGGGGGAGGTAAGGGGCAGGCTCTGCTGGTCCTGGGAACCTGCCTGGTGTCAGGGACGCTTACAAGGGCACAGTCTTGCTCTCCACGGGGCACCAGCCCCAGATCTCACAGGTTCTGTGAGTCCCAGTGAACACCAGACACTGGCCCGTGTTTATGCCTTGAAAACACAGGAGAAACTCCAAGCCCTCCAATCTCCACAGGGCCTGGGAAGGGAGTGGCAGGGGGCTGTTGGCAGAAAGAGATGCAGAAGCACCACCAGGCACTGGAGCCACCCAAGGTCCCAGCACGGTCCCGTGAAACCCCATCCCACTGGAGGTGCCGGAAGACAGGGCCCACAGTTACTGTGGCTGTGCATCCCCGTCTCCCCTTGACAGTCCTCGTCAGCCCAGCAGGTCCCTAGTGGGATGGAGAGTGCTGAGGTGGTGAGAGAGCAGAGCTGTCCAGTCCCAGGAGGTGTCTCCCCTTTGTCACCCAGCCCTGCAGGCTACAGGGACATGCCCCTCCCCTGCTTAGCCCCCAGAGTTCCCTGAGTTTGAGGTTCATGGGAAAGCTGGAGGGTGCAAATAAAAGGAGGTGGTCAGAGTGGGGAGGGTGAGCAGCCCCCCAGCCAGATAGGGGTGCAGTGTTGTACCCCAAGGCAGAGTGAGACTCCTCTCCTCCTGATAGCTCTGTCCCTGGTTGGGGCAGAAGTGACTCCTCGAGGTGAGCTCCTCTTGCCCAACTCTGACGACAAAATAGGGAAGGTGGAGGGACTCTGGGAGGGTGAATTCACGCCAGGGTGGGGGTGCTGGGCATGGCAGACAAAGGGCGGGACCCTCAACAGAGGGGCTGTAGGAAAGTGGGACCCCACATACTGGCCAGGGACCAAAGGGTAGTCCCTTTCCATCTTGTTCTGCTATAAAATGGGGACATTAATGCCTACACATGGTCACAGAGTTCTGGGAACCAGCCAGGAGGGGACAGTGGCAAGCTGAGGGGTCAGTAATCAATGGAGAGTAGGTGGGGTGTAAAAACGCATCTCCAAGTCTGACCTAGACCTATGACATTGTGGGTAGGTTTCTTTAACAAGAACTTGAAATGGAATACTATGCTATCCTAAAAGGCATTGTCCCGCCATATGCTAGCTGTCTAGACATTCATAAGCCTATACTTCCCCACAGTAACCACACACAAAGGTTTACCCAAAAGGGGCACATAGAATGCAGTGTCTTCTAGTTCTGTAGCAGTGTCAGTGGTCATGAGCACTTGGTAAGGTCCTTTCCGATGGGGCTCAAGGGCTCTAACTCATCTGGAAAATGCATACAACACCAAGAACATATTGATGAGCCATATGAGGTGGCAGTTGAATGAAGTCCAGCTGCGGGTGCTCAAAGGACCCGGAGGGAGGAGTTGTGAGGCTTCTGGGGGCAGAAATAGACTTTCTCATAGTAGGTGAAGGGAGGTAAAAACCGAAAAACGGGATTTGCCAGAAGCCAGGGAGAGCCCAGTGGCTGTCTGGGGTTTTCCTAGCCCTGACCGTTGAATTTACAGCCATTGTTTACCTGCCTTCATTTCTCTGCTCCAGGAGCAGACTGTTGCCTTGTTAAAAGGACATCAGGACGGCAAAAGTCTGGCAGTGCAGGACTATTCTTTGCAGAGGCAGAATGGGCTTCATCCACGTGTGCCAATCTTTATAGATTCCGTGGTTGCTGCCTTTGCATGAAAGTCAGCTGAGGAGCTTTCCTGATGTTTAGTGTGAGCCTCAATTTTGATGACAGACAACATTTCATCCCAGGACATGTTGGACTCCCAGGAATTTCACATAATTTCTGGAACTCTTATAACATAGACTTGTAGAGACATAACATAAAGAAGGTTTAATTGCTTATTTGACAATGTTTCCCATGTCATCTAACATATCAGATAAGCCTAATTAGTTTAATATCTTTCTTTTTAAAAGGAGAGAAAACCAATCTTTTGACATGTTTCAAGGATCCTCTGAAAAATACCAATGTTATCTAGAGGTCAAAAAAAGACTTCATTTAGAATCTGGTTTGGGAAAGTTTTGTCCAAAATAAGATCTTAAAATACTTGCCTAAATAGGATCACAGATCTCTATGAAACTTAATATTTAATTACCTTTTAACCAAGGAGACAAAAATGCTTCAAAGACAAATACAGAAGTTTACATAGCTGCAAAACTTTAGCTTTTTGTAATAGGAAAGACTCAGCATTTAAAATGAAGTGCAAGAAATTATTTCGATAAAACATCTTGATTTTAGGCAGGTTACTCAAAAGTACAGAAAAACTTTTCATAATCTCTTTATCAAGAGTAGATTAAAAACCCAAGAAACCTTGCCCTTATAACAAAAACAGAGAAAACCAAATTCTAATTTTGCACCAGCTTATTTTTGATATTAAAACTCGTTTACTGTATTAAATTCGTTCCAATCTTAGCCAGCTCGATCTCACAGAACTCTTTTCTCAGGGTTCCTCTTTCAGAAACTTTCTTTTTTACATTCAGAATTTGTCTTTTCTTCTTTCCCATAACCAGTTTTACTTTAGGACAAGTTCCCTTTAATAAAAATAGCTCCATTCCTATACCTTCTTTTACTGAAAACATACATTTTCTCACTACATAAATTTTTTAATGTGGCACAAGACGTGTTTTACTAATAGATGCAAACATCTTTTAGTTTTTCTGTAATAAGAAGCCAAAAGTAGATAAACCCCTGTTCAGTAATTAACTTTTTCCTGTTTTATCTTATCTAGATATTCAATGGATTCTCCATCATTAACTTTCATTTAGCAAAACTCTGAGGTTTCAAGTTACCAAAAGATTTGTAGAAGTTATTCTAAAGTACACATGCCATAAAACATAATTGTTGCCCTTAAAATTCCATTTTTCACTAACAACTATGTACTTCATTTCTTCTTAATAATCATACTTAGATTATTCATGAAAATTTCATGAGACATTAAAGCAGTTAACTCTCAGTTTAAGTTAACTTTTTCTTGCTGATAAGTTTTATAACAGTGATGACATGAGCTTATTTGATTAATAACCCAGGTAGAATTTAAGTTGTATGTTTCCGTTATATCCAGTGCTGATAACTCTGAAGACATGCCTATTTTAATTAAACTAACAAATGTAAGTGAGCTTTTATTGACCAAACATTGTTTTCTATCATGTTAACTTGAAATAGATATGGGTTAGCTTTTACTGTATTTAGAAATAATTTATATAAGCTCTTGCTTTAAGTTCATTAAATAGAACTCTTTTTAGAAATCAATTTGTTAATACTATCTGGAGGTAGAACAATATCACACATATATAATGTGTGTATATGTATGTGTATATATGGTATGTGTATACATATACCAGCATAGAGATCTGACAGCTTTTATTTTCAAAATCTCAGCCATGAATCAGGTAGAACACAAAACTCACTAGCTGACAAATAACTGTGTCTCTAGCAGACGGAACAAGTTAAGGTTGCCTGCTTAAAAGTTTTTGTTGTTGTTAGTATTTGTGGAGAAGACTTTGAAGATTTATCTTTGCTGGAGATAAGGAGGCTCTGAACTAGATTTAGGGGAGAAAGCCTCTCTAGCAGCCTGAATTTAAGAGGAAATGTTCTTCCCTCTTTCTTTAGCCTCAGGCTTTACTGATTGAGGAGCCAGGTTTAGTCTCAGGTAACTGTGGGCGGTTATCTCCTGGGGTGCTTACATTCTACAGATATGGGAAAATGCACAACTTCAAAAGAGAGAAAAAATGGAAATTTTTTCCCTGGAGTTTCAGGGCGATTGTGACTTAAAATTTTCCTTCAGTCTTAGGAATTGAGGATGGTCTAAATAGGAGTTTCTGGAGAGGTTCCCAGGCTTTGAGTGTGATCTGGGAGCTTTTCGGATTGGTGAAAGGGACTGGGTGAAATGTGAACTGCCTTTAGAGCTGCATTTTCACTTTTGCAAAGATTTGTGAGATAAGGACAGTTGCTCTCAATGCCTCAGGAATAGGGTTGTAACTTAAAGCACAACATAGGTTGATTTACCTGTCCAATTGTCCCTAATTTGCTTCTTTCTCTCTGGGTACATACTTTTATTTTAACTTAGGCAAGAGAGCCTATTTTAAAAAACCCTATGGTTCTCTGAATATCAGCTTTTAGTTACCCACTTTTTGACCAGAGAGCTACTAAAAAAAAGATCCTTTTAAATATCTTGTTAGTGTTCAGCCAGCACAAAAAGCAAATATTTCTGGCAGTATTAAACAACCTCCTAATTCTAATTTTAGTTTCCCCTAGGCTATTTAAGGGAATAGGGTATCCGTTTACCAGGAAAACCTCAGAGTCTCACCAACTCTGGAGGGGCCCATCTGGGAGCCCTCCTATGAGAGTGGATATGAGGGTGTCAGTAGGGCCACTAATTTGGTGGACTTCTGTCTACGGCTATGTAGTCTTTTCTTTTAGGTCTCTCTTATAGCTTTAATTTTTCATTATTTTTTCAACAAAACTTTCACTGAAGTTATTTTAGAATTTGGAACCCTTTGCTTTTAAGTGCACCTTTGAAATGATCTTATCTAATTAGACTATTCCCTTCCTGGCCATCGTAATTCTATATCATCCGTAGTAATTTTGGTCGATTGACATAGAAATTCACAAGACAAGGGAACTTAGTTGTTAAACACAAAACCAGCTGGAGTTCCTGAGGGAGAAAATGCTCAGGAAACTTTGGAAAATGAAAGTCCCATGTGAAAGAAAAGGGCACAGACAGGAATGACAATAAAGAACTCCCTCAATCCAGTGAGAGTGCTCACCAACCAAAGAAAAAGCCCTGCTGAGGGAATTGCCTCCTGCGGCAATGGCAGCTACAGCAGACTGAGACAGTCACCTCCTGGGTGGTCACCCCCAAACCCAAAAAGAGGCACTGAACTTGAACAAATGGAGGGAGGTCAAAAAGCAAAGGACTCACAATTGGATGAGTCAGCAATCTATGGAAATGGAGAGTCTATGGAGGCCC